AATGGAATATTATACAACCATAAGGAGCAATGATGAGTCTGTGAAACATACAACATGAATGGATTTGGAGGGCATAATGCTAAGTGAAATAAGTTAAGCATATAAGGACAAATATTGTATGATAGATACCTCTTTCATAAGAAAACAAGAATAGATAAATTTAAAAAAAGGATAAATAGAGACTAATGTTCATTGGTGGTTATCAGGAAGGGTAAGGCAGAGAAAGTACACTTTATACAGTAGTGACTAGTTATTTTTGGTGATGGGAAAAAAGGCACTGAATGTGGAGGTAGTGACCACAGCACAATCAAATTAAAGAATGAGTATTTGAACTAATATGGATAATTATAGGCAAACGGGTACATGGGTAGGTTTAGATGTGTACATAGGTGAGAACAGATAGGAGTATCTATAGCTCCAGCTCAAGATCACTGCCACTGAATCAATTCCGATTCATAGCAACTCCATTTGATTTTCGAGGCTATAAATCTTTATGGAAGTAGATGGCCCTGGCTTCCTTTCACAGAGTGGCTGGTGTGTTTGAAACTCTGATCTTCTGGTTAGCAACCAAATGCCTTATCTACCATGCTACCAGAGCTTCCTTCCAAGGAGTAGCTGGTGGGTTTGAACCGCCAGTCTTTGGTTAACAGTCAAATGCCTTAGGCCCTACACCACCAAAGCTCCCAAAGTATCCATAGGTGTGTATACATACAAATAAGTGGGTGCAGATACATATATTCATGAGTATGTCTTCAAACACGGATACTTCTCAGATATAAGCAAACACTTTGAAACATTGGTTTTCTGGATTTGAAGGCTTAGGACCACAGTCTCATGGTACAACTCAGTCAACCAGCATAACACAATTCACAAAAATCATGATCTGTATCTTAGTGATGTAAGTAGCATCTGGGGTCTTAAAAGCTTGCAAGCAGCCATCTAAGACACAACTAAGGGCCGTTACTCACCAGGAGAAAACAGTAAGAAAGCAACCAAATATATAGAGAAATAACAAGTCTACATGAGTCAAATTTCATCTACCCTGAGACCAAAAGAATTAGATGGTGCTCGACTACCACCACAGACTGTTCTGACTGGCCGTACAATAATTGGTCCTAGATAGAACGGGAGAAATGTATCACATACTGGATCATCACATCTAAAATTCCTCAGTTTAGAGATTTATTTGATAGGAATGAAGAAATTCCAAAAATAAGAGACAAAGAGTTTCTTTATGAATGATGAAGAAACAGACTAAGGACTTATTACAACCCTGTCCTTACAGTCATCTAAGGCAAGTAGCCAAACAGCTGCTGTCTCTGTCCCATCACTGCACACAAATTCCCTGTGCAACGTAAGTAAAACCACTGCAGGGGATGCCCTCTGACCACACCACAAGTCACCTGCTGAACCTCAATCCTGTTTTTCAATACCTCATCTAGTCTAAAAATTATGTGAATAATGTAAGGTGACTAAAGTTGTATTCTACAGCAAAGGAACCAAGAAACCTGTAGAGTTCTGTCTGTAAGAAGTACTCTATCTCTAGGATACAGGGATGGAGAAAAGGAAGGGTAGGACTCTAATATGTTATTTATTTATTTTAAATTTTATTGTGCTTTGGATGCAAATTTACAGAGCAAATTTGTTTTATGTTCAACAGTTCATGTACATTTGATTTCACATCCTGATTACCATCCCCGACTATAACAAACTCTCCTCCCCTCCTGGGAGGGGATCAAGATGAGGAAATTGAAGATTTTTTATCAACTTCTGCAGTCTGAAATTGACCAAACATGCAATCAAGATGTGTTGTTCATCACTGGTGACTGGAATGCAAAAGCTGGAAACAAAGAATTGCCAGTAGTTGGAAAATTTGGCCTTGGTGACAGAAATAATGCTGGAGATTGCATGATAAAATTTTGCAAGACCAACAACTTATTCATTGCAAATATCTTTTTTCAACAACACAAACTGTGGCTATACACATGGACTTCACCAGATGGAATACACAGGAATCAGACTGACTACATCTGTGGCAAGA